TCGAGAGGAAAGGAGAGAAGAGACCGAGAGATGAGTGGATGACGAGAGGAGAGAGAGAGAGAGAGATTGAGAGAGAGAGAGGAGAGAGAGGAGAGAAAGAGAGAGATGGAGAGGAGAGAGAGAGAGAGAGGAGAGAGAGGAGAGCGAGGCGAGAGAGAGAAGCGAGAGGAGAGAGAGAGAGAGAGAGAGAGGAGAGCGAGATATAATATATACATATATATATATATATATATATATATACACTGTACTGCAATGTTCCCCTAATTTCATAATGCCTCGCTAGCCCATAAACCCGTGTAAGTTTCTGTGCTCCCGAAAACAAGGCGCCAGCCGAGCTGTCTGTAAGAAATGCCTTAGTAGAAGAAAAACGCCAGGAGAAAATACAAATTTACCGTCGCGTCTTCTTTTTTTATAACTTCGGGGGAGTGTCAGTTTTTTTGGGTGCCATATTTGTTTTGCAGACAGTGGCATTCTTTTTATAACATCGGCCTGTGGCCTAGAAATAAGGGAAAATGACCCGTTCACGACGAGTGTCCCACAAACCGAAATTGCTTACGCTTGTGTTCGCGACACGCATTCAGCAGAAAATATTACGTAGCCAATCATCTTCCGCGGACTGTACCACATGTGCAGCATCATCGCCTTTGCGAATGTATCAGCGGCCATGCTGTTTTGACCATAAACAAAAAGCAGCCTGTAATATCACGGGGATCTAATGACGTTTCTATGGCGTCATTAATCAGACGGCGATTTTGAAGTTGGCTGTAAAGAAGCCTTTTCATACTTAGCGGGCGTGTAACTCAGGAAGCAGAGCGTTTTAGTCTCAAAAAGGGCATATCCGTGAGCTGCATCAAAATGTCCTCAAGATGCCCATTTGAGTTCAAAACACCACACAAATGTGGAACATTCCTTTTAAGTCCTATTCTTTCTCGATCTGGTGTAACTCGCAGCCTCCCATTTTATAGTTAATGGCGTCACTTCTAAAACTACCCAAATGCATTACCTTAAACTTATCATACTTGAATGACATCTGCCATAAATAGGGTCAGTTCACTAGTTTATTGAAGTCAAGTTAAACTTGGTTCACCTGATAGGTATTTTCGACACCCCTATCAATTCAATATCGTCAGAGAATTTAACATCTTTCATCCCTATCCTATCTCAATATCATTCGCGAAAACAAAAAGGGGCAAATGTGTCCGACGCCGAATCCTATGGAACCCCACTCTTTTCTAGCTCCCATTGAGATTATGTACCACCCAGCACTACTCGTTGTTTCCTGTTTAGCAACCAAGCCCTCACCCAGCCAAAATATTTTATCTCAATGCCGTATAATGTTTACTGATAAAGCAGGCATTAGTATGGCACCTTATCAAACACTACTAAAATCTAGATATACAGCATCTTAACTATTGCCTTCACTTATGTGCTTAGCAACATGCTCCATGAACTCTGGCAGAAGATATGTCAAACAGGACCTGCCAGATACAAAACCATACTGACGACTATTTACCAGCTCATGCCTATCTAAGTGTGACAGAATGCTAGCCTTAATGAAATTTTCTAAGACCTTCCATCTTAGTGAGGTTAGCTTGACAAGCCTATAGTTGCCAATGCTGTTTTGGCCCCTTCTTAAAAATCGGTAATACATTGGCATTGCGCCAATGGTCGCGTTTTTTCTAAGAAACTCAATGATCCATGAATTGTTAACATAAGAGGATAAGCCACATTACTTGCGCATTCATTCAACTCAATACCATGTACCTGGTAAACTCCGGCCGCCTTATTATCTTCATTTCCTTCAAACCATCCCTTACCATGCCCTCAGTCACCGTCAGATCTACAAGACTGCCTTCAGTCAGATCTTGCGTATTTTCAGGAAGCTCACACATAAGCGCTGTTCACAACGCACAACCCGCTTAAGCTACCTAGGTGACCTTCACGGGGATCCCAGGTTCGTCTTGCGGACAAGTGTAGTAATGCGGTTAATTCATTTCCTATAATGGTGCTACGTAGTAGTGTGCGAGCAAAATGTGTTGCACACAACTACCCTTAGTTCCACTCTCCCAACCTTCCCGGGCCTACTTCCGCCCCTGCGCATCTGTGCTGACCCCGTCGCCCCGAAGTGGCCAGATTGCAAGCTGGTGAGTGACGTTTTCGATCGATCTGTGAGGAAAATGAAAAGATAGCTCCAATAATGCGATCGACTGCGGATGAACCGGAGAACAGCTTGCATGTATCTTGCGGTATCTTGTTGCGAAAGCGCCGGTTATGTGACGAGAGGATCAATGTTTCTATGCTTTGTAAGGTGTGATTTGGTTTGCAACCTGATTGTAAGTGATCGTGTGTTACGTAATTTAAAGTTGATGTTGAATAAATCAGTGCCTTGCTTACCTCAGTTAATTTCCTGCTGTACTTATATTGATGTCAGACTGTTGGCCACATAACGGCTGGTGACCGGCTATTTATGTAGTATGCAGCTTCCTGGGTGCTCAAATTGGAGTTGGGTGGTGTTCGAAGAAGTCTCTCTTGAAGTTAGGAGGGTATTTCTGAAACCTCAGTTTAACAGAGGACCTCAAGTTTTCCATTATCTGCTATTAAGACCCTGTAGGGAGCTAGAATATCAGGGATATGATTTGTATCATTTTTGTGAGGGTCTCTGAACACTACAAATTGTGGAAATGTTTAATTTGATACAATGCTATCATTTGGTGTGGGAGGATTTTTGGTAGGCATAGCTTCTACACTGCCAGTTTTAAGGCATGTCGTGAACTGCATTGAAAATGTTGTATTTCCTGGTTTAAAACTAGACTTGTTGTTAAAAATGCACATCAATAACACAAAACTAATAACCTTAGCCCCAGTTACCTTCATTTCACGGGGTAAGAGACCCAAGTAAAAGCCATTACCTAAATGTAACAGTTACTTTTTAGCGTGCTATAGATTGTTTCAGTGTCTTCTAAAGACTGGTGGACAAGCTTGCAAGGCCAGTGATTGTGATAAATACTATTGTATGCACATATAACCTAACTGTATCTGTTGATAGCATGCGCAAATTGTCTAAGCTAACCTCTTTGCTCTTGTCTGACGGGGTTGTTTGCTTTGCCACATCTTTGTGTTTTGAATATGCATTGATACATTTAAAAGATAAATTTCTCATTGTATGCAGCATTAAAAACTATTTATCATTTATCTGAAACGGCAGCATGACATTTTGTATTCTCGGTCTATAGTTAGCACGCGCTGAAGTGGGGGTCAAATTGACCCTCCGAAGGTTTTTCCGGGATGGCGCTTGAAAGGCGCGGCGCAACATCGCCAAATTTTGCATAGCTGTAGACAATTTGATAACAGATCGTCTGAAGTCAAAACTTAGGTGTACGTTGTAAGGTCGCAGACCTATGGCAGGTCAAATTTAGGCCATGGTTTCAGCGAAGGCAATTTCTAGGGAGTCGTTAAATCTGATCCTACAACGGAGTGTTAGACGAAACCACATATCTTTGGGATACTTTCTCAGGCTGCGCAACAATTGAATGGACACATAACGTTGACCTAGGTCAGGTAGGAAGGTCAGACCAAGGACAAAACCAAAATGCTTTATTGCTGTGGGGCTTGCTCTGTTGAGTATTTTCTGGTGCTCATTTCGAATTTATTGGAAAACAGGAAGCGCATTATACACCTTGAACAGAGCTCTCATAAGTCAAAATAAGTCACCGACAAAGAATGACCCAGATCAACATTTTGTTTTTAGAAACATACTGCTTAACGTAATCATTGTCGCTTATCTAAACGCAAAACTCAAAGCTGATACTGCCATGCTGTGCTCACTTTAATTTTCTACTTCAGGGCATAACAAAATCACACCCTGCAACCAAAAATCAAGATGAAATGACTGATATTACTCCACAGGAATGGATGACTAACAGACA